ATCGCACATCTTTGAGGATGGCTCCTCGGTGATGGTCACCGACTCAGCGCACACGAGTGTGAGCACACTTTGGGAGATCGTGGAGGACAGGGAAGCCCGACGTGCTGCCGTCCGTGGGGTCGCAGAGAGTCAAACACCACTTAGCAACTCAGCAACAACAAAAGGATGCTCCAAAATTTCTCCTAGTTTTAAAATTACGTCTCTCTGGGCCCCTCCAGACTTACTGTCCACTTTGCTCGGCGGCCAGGATGCGGAGGGTGGAGGGCTGGCATCCACAGGAGCCCTTCCTCCGCCGTCCAGGGGGTCCAGCCAATGGGAGGCACTGCTACTTCCAGCCAAGCCCTGCCCAGGGTGGGCGCAGGGAGGCGGGGAGCCCCGGCCTGCAGGGGGAGGGGACCCCAGGGGGCTCCAGGTTCTGCAGACCACCCCGCCCCTACCTCTCCAGGTGCCAGTGTCTCCCTCCTGCCCGGATACCAGACGCATCCCGTAGGTTTCCCTGACTGCGCCCACAGCTCTGCCGGTGGGTTTTTGTCGTTTGTTTGTTTTTTTTTTTTAATGAAATTCTTCTCAAATTACCCCATTTGGCTGTGCCATCTGTCTCTGGCCTGGGCTCTGACCGAACCCTGACTGATTCAGCCCCCTGCCCTATACACAGCAGGACATTCAAAAAAGGCTTTTTAAAGAACTGACTTATTTTTAACTGGAGGATAGTTGCTTTGCCATGTTGGGTTGCGTTCTGCCCTGCAGTCAACACGAGTCAGCCACTGGTATACATCTATCCCCTCCCTCCCGAGCATCCTCCCACCCCTCGAGGTTGTCACGGAGCACCAGGCTGAGCTCCCTGCGGCATTCCCACCGGCTGTTTTACTTAATACTAAAAAGGCTTTCTAATTTAATTAAATGGAGCTGTCTGACTTTTCTGATATTTTCATTCAAAGATGGCTTATAATAGGGTAACTGATTGTCCCCGATTGTTTGGACCTGAGGGAACTTGGGACTTTTTGTTTTGAAATCAGGACAGTTCTGGGCGTACCACAGGAGGTGCTCACGAAGGCATGCACTCTTATAGCGTTTCTAAATGATTTTTGAAGATCATTATCTTTCAAAAGATTTCTATGATAATATTTAAACTAAAGTTGTTTTACTAAACAATGATAGACTATTTCCCACTTCTGAGAAAATCTGTGTCTGAAATGCTTTTCCTAAAGGCAAAGTCTGTAATGTGAAGAGACCATGCTTTATCGAGTTCTGTCTGATCGAGTCTGCTTACTCCCCAGGGGAAGTCACCGAAGAACTAGTAAGAATCAAGGAGTGATGCGTAAGGGCTTATGAGCGAGTCTGAAAAGAAGAGAGTGGCAAAGACATCGCAGCGGAAAACCAGGCTTCTAGAATATAGTTCTTGATTCGAAAGATACTTGCAGGCATTTGAATTGATCGGTTCCTGTTTCCCTGTCCTTCCAGTGTGTTGCGGAGAAGATAGGAAGATACTCACAAGTTACAAAGAGCATGTTTCATTTCTTTGTGTTACTGTTTACTGGCATATTTACTGATATGTTTGCCAGTATTTACTGGTAATATTTTAATTCCTAGGAAACAGCAACTACAAACAAAGCTAACCTTTTAAGAAGAAATCTCTGTTTACATGTTGGAATATAGCTTTATTATTTTATCTTTTTCCATTAGAGAAATGTTTATTAAATGACAGTATTAACAGCTGTCACACTGCTCTGGTACCTCTGGCTACCTGGGAGAAGAAATTTAATTGGGTTAGAAATTTACTGTGATTTGAATGCTTCTCAATTCAAAGTATTATTTTCTGGTAGGAGAGCTTTTGACTATTCACTGTAGGGAGCCAGAATTTCACATATATATCTTTTTACCCCTGCCTTTGAATATCAATTTTCTTGATCCATTTTTGCTCCCAAATCATTGTTCCCCTCTAAGAGTCGGATGAGTTATCACAAATTTGTGATATTGGTTTTGGTAAAATTAGAATTTAGTAACTCACCTCGGGTGTCTCAGCATTGCTCTTTGGTGTTATCTCTACACTGAAATGGTTGTTGTTAATATTGTTTTCCAACCATAAACAACCACTAGGAATGCATGAAATATATTGACCTAAGTGTATTCAATTTGGTCCCCTGTAATAAACATTTATTGAATACCCACTACATGTAAGGGGACAATAGAAAACAAAATTTGACATTGGGAGGCCAATAATTCAAACATCAAACTCGGAAAGAAAAAGTCAGTAGCCACTCATTTTGGTTAGGTTTTTAAAAGTTATATTACGTTACATATATTCATATATGTATATATATTTTTTAGGCTGAATTTTTAAGACTCGATTATCCTTTTCTTTTATACTTTTGTGAAATTTGTAACAATTTGACTCAGTATTTAAAAGTAACAAGTCTTTTTTTCTTCAGTGAGCAGCAAGGGCATGAAATAAGATCTCAGGTTCCCATCGTAAACTCTCCCTGACTTCTGCAGCTTGCCACAGATGGGGCAGGGCATGATGTTTGTGGCTGATAATGTGACAGAGTTTGAGTTCAGTGGACTTAGTAATTTGGGGGCCGCCATCCTGAGTTGAAATGCGCTGTAGAAAGGAAGACAGAGGCCAAAGGACCTGTGACTTGGCCCACCAGTGGGCAGGATTTGGTCCAACTCTGCTTTCGTGGTGGCAGAGACATTTCCTTTCTCTGTGATGGCCAAGGAAGGTGTACTAGAGCAAGTGGGAAGAGCTCCCCAAAGTGAAACTGGTGACCGTTTTAATGAAGAGATTGTGCTGATAAAAGATCAAGAATATTTCACACTGGTGAACTAATTTTAACTCAGAATACCTCATCTGGGTGGAAACGGGCTTTGAGGGTTAGCAGTGGGGGGCTGCCTCATAACAATTCCCTGCCTCTGTAGTCTGTGTGACATCACCATTCCTGTGGCTTCACACATCATCCCAATGTTCATGAAAATGGGCCACTAAATGCCGTGCAGACAGAGCGAGTCTCTTATTGATTAAAGGGATTAGCCAATAGCTCAGGCCTTGCAAGAATGGGGGCTTCAAGAGGGGTGTATGGATGGGCTGGGGGGGCACGTGATTGGTGGGAAGTATTTAAACGGAAGTAAGATGAGGCCAACGCTTAAACCACTTGGTGTTAAGTTCTAAGGACAGGATGCATCAATACAGTGAAATGTGCTTTTAATTCTCTTAATTATGTTTTAATTTCCTTCATTAAAAGTGTGTTCAATTGTATTAAACACATCTGTTTGATACAGATTAAACAGATATGTGTTCTCTTGGACCCTGTAATTCTAGGTCTAAAAATTTATGTTTAGGAAAACCATCCAGATACAGGCAAAGGGGTGCACATACAAGGATGTTTATCACAGCATTATCTAAAAGCAGTATGAAAGTGGACATAACCGGAATATCTGTCAATAAGGAGATAGAACACACTATAGAAATCCAAAATGATGCTGTAGATGCGTTTGTCAAAGAAGGCCAAAGTATACTACTTAAAGAGAAAATAATACCAAAAGTCATGACTACCAATGTCTAGGTGTTTTTTAAAAAAAATATGCAAGTAACAAAAAATCAGTATGCAGGTATTAATTTGAATTAGTTGCATTAACTAAAAGAGAAGTTTGGTACGCTGGGTGGCAGGGATAGAAGTGACATTTTAGAAGAAATTTGATACTTTTGAAATAAAAAAGAAACAAAAGGTATTACCTTAAAAAAATCTGAAATAAACAAGAACAAATGAAAAAAGCTTTCATTTTAAACACTGAGCTGCACCTTTGCCTAAGCAGGAGCCCTTGGTCTCAGCTGCAGGAGGAAGTCTCTCTGCTGCGAAATGAACAGCCCCGGCTGCACATGGGGTTTGGACCAAGGTGCCCCGCAGCAGTGAGTCCTGCACGAGAAGGGGCTCCATTCTGAGGGCACGTGCATGAGTCCAGTTGGTTTGTTAAGTCCAACAGAGTTAGCCTAGGTACCCAACTAACACAATCAGTTATAAATACTATATCTTCATAGGTTTATAATACTTCTCACCCAAATAATATATAAAGAATGAACCCAGAAATAAAACGTTTCTAACGAGTGCCCCGGAGAAGGAAATGGCAACCCACTCCAGTATTCTTGCCTGGAGAATCCCATGGACAGACAAACCTGGTGAGCTATAGTCCATGGGGTTGCAAGAGTTGGGCCCGACTTAGCGACTAAACCACCACCAATGAGCACCAAAGAATCGATGCTTTCAAACTGTGGTGTTGTAGAAGACTCTTGAGAGTCCCTTGGACAGAAAGGAGATCAAACCAGTCCATCCTAAAGGAAATCAGCCCTGAATGTTCATTGGAAGGACTGATGCTGAAGCTGAAGCTCCAAGAGTTTGGCCACCTGATGTGAAGAACTGACTCATTGGAAAAGACCCTGATGCTGGGAAAGATTAAAGGTAGGAGAAGGGGAGGAAAGAGGACAAGATAATTGGATGGCATCACCGACTGAATGGACTTGAGTCTGAGCAAACTCCGGGAGATGGTGAAAGACAGGGAAGCCTGGTGTGCTGTAGTCCATGGGGTCGCAAAGAGTTGGGCATGACTGAGCGACTGAACAACAACAAACCTTACGGAATAGTTCCCTTAAAAAGTACAGTAGTACCAGCCACATCATTATTGCTTTTATGCTTCCTTCTGGACATCCTGGGCTTGAAATAAAGATACTGTGTACTGTACTCTATACAGTTCTGTAAAGTACACAGAAGCACAAGCAGTTGTAGAGGATGCAGGCATGCAACAGTGCAAGCCAGACACATGAACGCACTTACGTGATTGGACATGTGAACGCACATTCACAACTTTGAAAGGTTTGAAACTTGAGGATTCATACGTAGTGGACTTACTGTAGTCCCAACAGAAGTTGGGGAACTGAAAATGAACTCTTCCCATCATAATTTGGGCTCTTTACTTCCCAGACACACCCTCTTCCTCCTGATTTCTGGCCCATGTCCCTACTGCCTGTGAGTCCTTGCACTTAAATTGCTTGCAAACTGATTGCAAACTCAACGTCCCCCAAACTGGCTGGGACCTCCACCAAAGTCTTCCCCGATAGGATGAAATCTCTCTCTCATTCCATCTTCCGCAGCCCTTTCTGCCTCTCTTGGGTCATCGACCTCCCGCTACCTGCGTAGATTTGGGCACCTGCCTGATTCCCCTTGCAGAATGAGAGCTCCCCGAGACAGTCTTTGTCTCACTCGTGGCTATGCACCGTGAGTCACCCTGCCCCGTGATTTTCTGGTGGGAGGTACTGAAAGACATATTCAAGGAAGTACGTGCAGCAAGAGACAGACGACCTCTGTGGGCTGGGAACTCATGACATCTGGGCTTGCTTGCTATTTCTTAGCAAGGTAGAAAACCACTTTCCCACTCTGTTTTGCCCTGTCAGGAGTCCAGGCATGCTGGGGTGAAGATAAGGCAGAAAGAATTAGCGCTGCCTCCTCTGTATTTGTACACTACAGGGCGTAGGATGCACCATCGTTGGACTTGGAGGAAATGGAAAATGGAACTCAGCCAACTATTTCTTAGGTCATTAAAAGTTATTAAAGACAGCAGTAAGAGACACGAAAGTAGCCACTGCAATAACATGGAAGTTCTGGCTACAAAAAAAATTCATTTAGAGACATCAGATGGGAGGAGATTGAAAGGAACCAGAAGAGGAGAGCCTGGTTTCCAGAATGCTGGTGTTGAGCCACTTCTGAGCTCAGACCAGTGAGATCACTGTCTTGATATAAAAGATGCCCCTCTAAGAATTCTGTCCTCCTACACCAGAATCAGTTCAGTTGGTCTTACCATTGTCTCTCCTCGGAAATAACTCTTCCACACCCTCGCTGTGTTGCCAAGTCTTATTGCTGCTCCTCCTCCAAGCTGGCCTGTGTCCTGTCTGGAATGCCAGACAATTCTTCCGGGGTCTCTGCGGCCTCTGATCACCACCTGCAATTACAGTCCCAACAAAAAGAACTTACTAAAGTCCAGGTCAGAACGGAGGCTCCCACCCAGGACGTCGCTTCTTCCTGAGGTCCGGATGGAGTTTGTGAGCAAGCCTGCCTTCTGTGCTCTGGCTGCAGGCGTCATTAACACTGCATCGGAAGGAGCATCGCCTTGAAAATGATAAAGAAAAGGTGCTTAAAGCTGTCAGACCTGCTCTTCCTCTCCATGATAGATGTCAGTATCTTGCTTTCCTCCAACATGCAAGAACTATTACAATATATTAAGGAGCAAGCAAGCCAGGACCTGAGGAGGTCATCAGGAGGGTGGAAAGCTGTCGTTTTTGGTCATGGAATTGTGTCCACATCACACCATAAGGACTGTCTCCATCACTGGCTTTCTTTATCTTTTCTAGTAGGCTGGGGTGCGTGAGGATGACCAGAAGGTAGTTCTCGTCTTCAAGTGACCTATGCTCTATTAGGCAGACACACCCATAACGTCTTAAACAAAAGTTCAGAAAATGAGGAAGCAGTAACGAGATGTTCAGGTGGAGCCTAGGACAGGGTTCATTTCCAGCCCAGGGGAGCAGGAGCAGGGCCCAGAGGTGTGTTTTCAGAGCAGAGAGTGGATGGCGGGCCAGAGGCAGAGGGTCCAGAGAAACACATGGTTAGGTGTGGAGACGGCCAGGTGTCAAGAATGGCAGAGGAATGGCCTAATCCCTAAGATGTGTGTGTGTGTGTGTGTGTGTGTGTGTGTGTGTGTAAGGCTTGGTGGGCAAGGTGGATGATGGGTATACTGAAGTCATCAAAAAAATGTTGTGAGGATAAAATTAACTGTTACAAATTAAGGTGTCACTTGTGTGAAAACAAGGCACCCATTTAACAGTCAGATTTTTTAAGCTCTTAAATGCTCAGGAAAGGGATTTGGATGGCCAGGGATCATATGATGCGCAAAAAAAAAAAAATCAAGCAGTTTGGCATTGAATTACAGTTCTGTCGCTTTGCTAATGATGTGATGTGATCTTGGACAGATTACTCGACTCTCAGCATCAAAGGTGACCGGACTAAGCCTCTAGGGGAATGTGGGAAGATCAGATAAAGTGCTGGACGTAAAATGCTTGGCATGTAAGAGAGACGAAAGGGCTGTGACTTCACTTTCTGTCTTCTCCATCAGAATCCTCCGGGGGCACCGCAGTCTTGCCACGTTGGAGAAGCGCCCCGGTTGAGGCCGGGTCATCGGTGGGGGCCGTGTAGGTTTCGGATCAGGGAGACGGCGTGGGCAGAGCCCGGATGATGAGGGACGGCCGTGTGTGGGCAGCAGGTGGGGGTCTGATTCAGAGGGGGCGGTGGTGAGACCGGTTCTGGGTGTTTGTTTTCTCACCCACAGGAAGACTGGTTAACGCCTGCTTGGAGGAGGCCCTGCCTTCCGTACAGAGATAAATGTGCCCTCACTTCCTGACCTGTCTCTTAAGGAGCGACTCTTAGAAGGCCTTCTGTGACCTCCTGGCGGCTCTGGGGAGGGGGCAGTGCTGGGAGGGGCAGGTCAGGAAAGCGTAGGGGTTTCCAGCTGGCTGCGGGCTCCAGAGCGCTTAGCTCCCCCTGGGGCCGAGGCTGGGGGAAGAGCTGGCTAGCTTTATCTTGCCTTTTGGATCTTCGAGGCTGGAACCAACAACCATATCCTAATCTGGAGTTCCTTCTTAATGCAAATGCAAAAGAGGTAAAATAAATTAGATTTTCAGTCCGAAAAGATGACGTGGCTACTGTGGAAGGACAAGTTGTACTGTTGTTTTGTTGCTAAGTCGTGTCTGACTCTTGGCGACCCCATGGACTGTAGCCCGCCAGGCTCCTCTGTCCATGGGATACTCCAGGCAAGAACACTGGAGCGCATTGCCATTCCCTCCTCCAGGAGATCTTCCAACCCAAGGACCGAACCCCTGTCTGCTGCACTGTAGGCAGGTTCTTTACCACTGAGCCAGCTGGGAAGCCCTAAGGACAAAGCAGAGAAGGGTCAGGGTACTTCGGGGTGTAATTCAGGTGAGAGGTGGGGGTGGCTAGCTCCAGGGGACATACTGAAGACAGAAATGAACCAGACAATGAGGAAGCCGAGTTGAGAGTCCTGGGTGATGAAACATCAATAGAAACGATGGCAGGAATCAATGGATTGACTGACTGCCTATAAGCAGCGCCCGCTGTGTCCTGCCATCACCCCCAGGCCCCAGATGGAGTTCTTTGTAGTTATCCGAGTCTCTCTCTCTCTGGCTTCCTAGAGATGAATGCCTGGTCCCCCAAGTTCAAATGTTGAAACCTGATGCCCAGTGCAATGGTGTTAGGAGATGGGGCCTTTGGGAGGCAGTGAGGTCATGAGGTGGAGAGCCCTCACGGGTGGGATTACTGCCCCCACAACAGGGACTCCAGAAGCTCCCTCATCCCTCCCACTGGAGGAGGACACGGTCTGTGAACGAGGAAGCGAACCCCATCCCCCAGATACCAAGTCTGCCTGCACCTTATCTTGGACTTCCGGCCTCCAGAATGGTGAGAAACGCGCGAGGGTTGCTGCAGCCGCCCAGGGCGTGTCATTCTGTCAGGGCGGTTCTACCTGCTCAGGACCCAAGCAGTGTCCGACTGAGAGCCTGGATGGGCCTGGGGACTTCCCTCTTTGCTCCTATCCCTGCACAATTAGTCACCACGTCTGGAATTTTCTCTGTTTGCGATGTCCCTTGCCTCTTTTCCTCTCTTGTTCCTCTAGTTCAGGCCCTTCTTCTATGTGATCCTTGGAGCCTTGGGTGCTCCAGTTTTACCTCCCAGCTCTGGTCCTCGTCCCGAGCCCTGTAACTAAGAGTTAGTCTCTGAAACTCCGTGTTCCCCGTTCTGTGCCTCCCGAGGAAACCTGTAGGGATTCCCGCCGACCAATCGCTTCGCGGCCTTTTCACTAGGATCAAGGGTAGCGATTCCCGCCGACCAATCGCTTCGCGGCCTTTTCACTAGGATCAAGCGCAGGGATTCCCGCCGACCAATCGCTTCGCGGCCTTTTCACTAGGATCAAGGGTAGCGATTCCCGCCGACCCGACATGAAAACCTGCGCTGGAGGCTTGGCGGCGTGTGTGCTGTCTTCTATGTCACGCTCTGCTCCCCGTAACTGTAGTTCTAAAACTCTTGTCAAGCTACAGAACCCTTGTTTAAATGGAATCTTTTGTTCAAAAGCATGGGGCTCCGTAAGCCAAGCCTGTGAAAGCGGAGGTCTCGGGTGAATCAGGGGTGGCGTTTGGCTTCCTCTCCACCGCCCCCGCCGCCCTGCTTTCTACCCACCTGCGCGGTCCCCTGAGATGAGACTGCCGTTGGAAACTCATCGCCTTCCAGGAGGAACGCTCTTAGGTAGAGATAGGTGTTCTGCTCAAGGAACCAGTGGGCACTGAACCCAGCGTGCGTCCCCGTCCACACGGCCTCCGGTCAGCCGCTCCCCGGCTTGTTCCCTCATCAGGCCGGGGCCCTGCCTCATAGAAGGCCCCTCTGTGATGTAATGGGCGCCGTCACCAGCCTCTGCCGGCTGCGGAGCAGTCATCACCTGCTGCTGGCTGTAGCATCCTTCGTGGGGCTGAGGGGCCCTCAACAAACGCGGCCCAGACGAGCAGGTTTCCAGGGGCCCTCAGCGTAGGCCAAGCATTCCCTTATTTTGATTTGATCTAGAAAATATCGTATCCAGAGCAGTGGTTTCCAAACGTTTCTCTCCAGGGACTCCATCGAGAAATTTCCATCTGAAAGCCTTCTTTCTAGGACAAATTTTAACATTGGAAATGTTTTGTATGTGTATGTGTCAAATATTTGTTAAACAACTGTTGACAACTTTATTTAGCACTTTTATCAATTTTACGTTCTTCATTTTTTACTTTGTCCTTTTATTGTGAAAAATTTCAAATAATACTGAAAAATAGAAAAGTATAAGTACATGTAATATATACCTAGATTGAATAATTTTTAATATTTTGCCATATTTGCTTTGTATATGGTCCTTATATATACATATTAAATATGTATTTAATGTATTTCTAAACCATTTAAAAGTTAAATTTTATATACCCCAAAGCTTCACCTCTAAATACTTGAGTGCTCCTTTCTAAAAATGACATTCTCTTACATAACTGCAATACCAATATCACCTAACTAAACTAATAATTCCACAGCCCATATTTAAATTTCCTCAGCTGTCCCCCACATAGTTTGCATATCTGGTTTGTTCAAAACAAGACCCAGTCAAGAACATCCCTCTTTGTCTAGAATAATTGCCCCCTCCCCCTCTTCCTCCCAAATACACTGATTTGTAGAAGTGGTTGGACCACTTCCCTTGCGTGGCCACATTCTGGATTTGTTGGATGGTTTCCTTACAGTACTGCTCAGCTGGTTCCTCCATCCTCTGATTTTCCTGCATCTGGAACTTAAAAGGAACCAAAGGCTTGATTCGATTACAATTAAATATGTTTGGCAAGAACACCTCATGGGTGATGCGGTGCCCTTCACGTTGCTCGTAGCTTCAGAACCACACAGCTGATGCCTTCAGGACAAGTATCTTTGATGCTTCCTGTGTTTCCCTTTCCAATAACCCCCTACCTTTTCTGTTATCTTACATGCTGTGTTGGCTACTTCCTGTGTTTTCTTTAGTTTTATCACATAAGTATGCATGCCTCCAAATTTTGTAGCTTTCTGCTTGTATAAATCACTCAACATTGATTCTGCAATTTTTCCAATTGATATGTGAAGCTACAGGTCATTCATTTTCATGTCTGTGTCCTATTCTCTTGCGTGACTATTCCACAACTTATTTATTCATCCTACTCTTGATTGGAGAAGGAAATGGCAACCCACTCCAGTATCCTTGCCTGGAAAATCTCATGGACAGAGGAGCCTGGTGGGCTGCAGTCCATGGGGTCGCAAAGAGTCAGGGACGACTGAGTGATTAACACTCACTTACACTTACTCTTGATTGACATTGGATTTTTTCCATGTTTGTTATTACAGACGGTACTGCAGTAAATACCTTCATGCATATTTGTGGTCTACTTGTCCAGGAGTTCCTCTAGGGTGTATATCTAGGGATGTAATTGCAGGGGTGGATGGTGTCTGTGAGTACACCTTTGCCAGGTGCATCAGTCAAGGTACAGTTACAAAGAACACAGGAGTCTAGCTCATCAAATCAGAAAGGGATTTATTATAGGTTATTGATCATTTGCAGAGATGTTGGGAGGGCTGAGGGAACAGACTGTAGGCTGAGCTGCTAGGGATGATTCCCAAAGCCACACCAAAGGACTGGGCCACCAAAAAACTGCCACTTGCCCCTTCATCAGGAAGTTATGTTTTGGACTGGAAAGCTGCCAGTGTAGTTCTGGCTGCAAAGCCACAGAGCGCTACGTACAATTAGGAAGCCACTTCAGCTAAATCAGGAAGCTGCTGTTAGACCTTCTGGCTCCAGAACCACGCTACCTCTGGCCTGAAACTGACATTTATAACTGGGAAGCCACCATTATAATCCCTGCCAGCAAAACGAATGCCCCAAGCTCTGCCTCGCTCCCCACTTAATGGAGTTCAGGTCTCACTGAACAACTGGACAGGCCAAGGCTTCATCATACCTAGGACCCTGGCTCTGGGGGTGTCTTGGAACCACTGACTTTGGCTTTCTGTCCTTTGAAATACAGAATGGCACCCTAGAAGGAGGCTAGAATGAACATAGAGCAAATTAGTTCAGAGTTAATGTCAAATTGCTTCCCAATGGGGTGGAGCCAGTCTCTACTCTTGCCAGGAAAGCAGGGGAATACTTGTGGTTCTACATTCTTGCCAGTGTTGGGTTTTGTGGGGTTTTTGTCTTTGAAAAGCTACTTTGTTGTGATCTGAATTTGTGGTCCCATGATTAATAATAAGGTTGAGTGTGTCTTCACATATACATATTCATATATATTGGCCATTCCTGTTTCCTTTTCACAGCTAGGCTTGTTTATGTCTGCTGTATATTTCCTGCTCTTTTTCTTTCTTATTCACTGGGATCCTTCACATACTCTGAATAATGATTCTTTGTGAGTTGTGTTTCACAAATATCATCTCAGACAGAAGCTGATCTTTTCCCTTTTCAAGTGGCAATTTTACTGAGCAGAAGCCCTTATTATTAATCAATTTTGTCATTTTTTTCTTTATGATTTGTGCTTTTCTCACTCTTTTAAAAAGATCATTAAGATATTATTTATTTATTTTTTTATTTTTTAAAGCTTCAAAACTTTACTTTTCTTATTTTACTTCCTGACCTGCCTGGAGTTGATTTTTATGTATGGTGTGAGACAGGAAAACATTTTCATTTATGGGTAACCCCTCTGGTCTGCAATGCCTGATCGATCATGTGTCTCTTTTAAGTGTGGGTCAGTTTCTGAGCTCTCTCTTTTTTTTTTTTTTCTGTTGGTCTGTTTTTCATTCTTGTATTAGTAACACACCATCCTAATCACTGAAGCTTTATGATATGTCTTTAATCTGGAGGAACAGGCTCATCTTTTCACTTATTCTTGGCCCTTTTAGAATTCTGCATCATAAAGTTCCACAACATATCTTCTTGAGATTTTTATTGGAATTCATTGAATCTATATAATAGTTTGGATAGAAATGAGATCTTGAAGCTATTCAATCTTCCTATCCATAGAAAAATTTTGTCATTCTGTTTATTTTGGTCATATTTAATGCCTCCCACCAAAGTTTTATAACTTTCTCCAAAAAGGTCTTGTATATCTTTTATTAAGTTTATTCCTTGGTTCCTTATTTTGTTGTTGCTATTGCAAAAGATATTTTTACAAATTGTATTTCCTAACTTTTTTTTCTTGGTATGTAGAAATGCACTTGACCCGTATATTAATTTTATGTCTAACAAACTTACTAAAGTCTTTTGTTAATTCTAAGAGTTTACAGATAATTGGAAGTTTTCTATGAAGAACTTAATATTTGCATATAATGACAGTTTGGTTTCCTTCTGTTTTGAACCTGTATCATCCTTGCCTTAGTACACTGGTCAGATTTCCAGTACATGGCTAAGAACAGGTGTGTGTTCTTTTGTTATTCCTGATTTTAAAGAGCATGTGTTAATATTTCACAACTTAGAACAAGATTTGCATTATTAGTTTGACGAGAGCTTTTGTCATATTCAGGACATTCCTTTCTCTTTCTAGTTTGTAAAGAAATTAAAAAATTTTTTTTCCTCATGAATGCTCTTTTGAATTTTATCAAATTCTTATCCCATATCAATTCAGGTCACAATGTAGGTTTTCTCCTACTAACAATAGAAATTACACTGGTACATGTTTTCAGTTCAATTCAGTTTCTCAGTCATGTCCAACTCTTTGTGACCCCATGGACTGCAGCACGCCAGGCCTTCCTGTCCATCACCAACTCCTGGAGCTTATTTAAACTCATGTCCATTGAGTTGGTGATGCCATCCAACCATTTCATCCTCTGTAGTCCCTTCTCTTCCTGCCTTCAATCTTTCCCAGGATCAGGGTCTTTTCCAGTGAGTCAGTTCTTCCCATCAGGTGGCCAGAGTATTGGCATCAGTCCTTCCAATAAACATTCAGGACTGATTTCCTTTAGGATGGACTGGTTGAATCTCCTTGCAGTCCAAGGGACTCTCAAGAGTCTTCTCCAACAACACGGATCAACAGCATCAATTCTTCAGTGCTCAGCTTTCTTTATAGTCCAACTCTCACATCCATACATGACCACTGGAAAAACCATAGGCTTGACTAGACAGACCTTTGTTGGCAAAGGAATGTCTCTGCTTTTTAACATGTTGTCTAGGTTGATCATAACTTTTCTTCCAAGGAGTAAGCGTCTTTTTATTTCATGGCTACAGTCACCATCCACAGTGATTTTGGAGCCCAAGAAAATAAAGTCTGCCACTGTTTCCACTGTTTCTCCATCTATTTCCCATGAAGTGATAGGACTGGATGCCATGATCTTTGTTTTCTGAATGTTGAGCTTTAAGCCAACTTTTTCACTCTTCTCTTTCACTTTCATCAAGAGGCTTTTTAGTTCCTCTTCACTTTCTGCCATAAGGGTGGTGTCATCTGCATATCTGATGTTATTGATATTTCTCCAAGCAATCTTGATTCCAGCTTGTGCTTCATCCAGCCCAGAGTTTCAGATGAGGTACTCTGCATATAAGTTAAATAAGCAGCGTGACAATATATAGCCTTGATGTACTCCTTTTCCTATTTGGAACCAGTCTGTTGTTCCATGTCCAGTTCTAACTGTTGCTTCCTGACCTTCATACAGATATCTCAGGAGGCAGGTCAGATGGCCTGATATTTCCATCTCTTTCAAAATTTTCCACAGTTTATTGTGATCCACACTGTCAAAGGCTTTGGCATAGTCAATAGAGCTGAAATAGATGTTTTTCTGGAACTCGCTTGCTTTCTCAATGATCCAGTTGATGTTGGCAATTTGATCTCTGGTTCCTCTGCTTTTTCTAAATCCAGCTTGAACATCTGGAAGTTCACAGTTCATGTATTGCTGAAGCCTGGCTTGGAGAGTTTTGAGCATTACTGTGCTAGCGTGTGAAATGAGTGCAATTGTGCATTAGCTTGAGCATTCTTTGGCATTGCCTTTCTTAGGGATTGAAATGAAAACCG